GCTGAGCCAGAGAGCAGGACAGGCTTTGGTTGCTTCCTCCCTCCCCTTCTCTCCTTTGTGTTCTTGATCCCCGATCCCAGCAGCATTCACCGAAGGCGAAGAAAGCCGCCATTTTTTTTATTTTTTTTTCTTTGCGGCCCGGTACAGAGTGCTCCATGGACCGGTACCGGTCCACGGCCCGGTGGTTGAGGACCCCTGGACTAGGTGGCTGGGCCCATGGTGGATCAGTAACGGGCACAGAGCTCTATTTCAACTCAGACACCAGCAAAGTGGAGGTGGGATACTGATATGGGCTGTTATTATAAAAGATGAATTGGACCTTTTCGGGTTGAAGATGGACTCAAAATCAACTCCAAACCTACAGCCAGTTTTTAGAACAGCTTTGCTGGCTGGGGAATTCTGGGAGTTGAAGTCCTCCAGGCTTAAAGTTGCCAAGGTTGGAGACCCCTGTTTTAGAAGACACTTTCTTCAAATGGTGGTACAGGAAAAAGTCTGCATCTTTCAAGATGATTTTTATGCAGGACGATGCTCTGGCGCATGCATCGAAGTACTCCACTGCATGGCTAGCCAGTAAAGGCCTTAAAGATGAAAGAATGACATGCCCCCCTTCCTCATTTGACCTAAACCCTATGGAGATCTTGTGGGCCCTTCTTAAATGGAAGATTTACAGTGAAGGAAAACAGTACACCTCTCTGAACAGTGTCTGGGAGGCTGTGGCTGCTGCTGCACAAAAAATTGATTGTCAACAGATCAAGAAACTGACAGACTCCGTGAATGGAAGGCTTATGACTGTTATTGAAAATGAGAGTGGCTATATTGGTCACTGGTTTTTTTTTAATGTCAGAAATGTTTATTTGTACATTTTGAGTTATTATTCTCACTTTAACAGATGCAAATAAACAACTGAGATGGGGAAATTTTTGTTTTTCATTTAGTTGCATAATAATTTTGCACATTGATAGTTGTCCAATAATTGTGCGCACATAAATATTCTCCTAAGAAATCCAAAACCTCACTTTTTCTTAAATATTCAGGTTTGAGGTCTATTAACATTTTGGATTGACGGAGAGCACTGTAGTTGTTCAATAATAAAATTAATCCTCCAAAATACAACTTGCCTAATAATTTTGTACACAGTGTAGATTATCCAACTGGTTCTAGATGCCACTAAAATATATGTTAAAGTAGATACCTTTTAAGAAAAGCTATGCAACACAGGGATAGTCTGCTTCCTGAAGTTCAATAATACTTTGGAAAAGTGCAACAAAGGATTGAAGTATCTCTAACATGGTATTTTGTAACATCAAATTTGCCTAGGACATCACTAAGGCAATGGGGCTTGACTGGGTTCTCAGAACACCTAGCTCTGCTCACCACAACCAAGAGGAGGATGGGGGGAGAAGGGAGACTGTCCTTGAAATGTTGAGGAAAGACCCTCACCCCCAGGAAAAAATAGATGGGTTAATTCTGAATGTACAAGACCAAGCCTTAGGAAACAAATGCATACAAAACCAGAATTGAGAAGGGAGCAACAGACAGCACATACCACCTCCGCGAAAATGTTCAACAAGCAGTGGACCACCTAGTTAGCTGCCACAAGGAGATTGCACAGATGCATTACAAACAATGGTGTGACAAAGTTGCAACAATGATGCATTGGAATATCTGCAAGAATTACTATTTGCCTTCCAACAACAATTGATGAGACCATAAAATTGACAAAGTAATTGAAAATGAAAAAGCTACTGGGACTTCAGAATTAAAACAGAAAAGCATCTGCCACATAACACCTCAGATTTAGCAATTGTTTATAAGAAAGACAAAAAAGTCTCAACAGTGGACTTTGCAGTACCTGGAGGCAGCAGAATGAAAGAGAAGAAACTGGAGAAAACTACAACATATAAGGACCTGCAAATAGAACTGTAACGACTGTGGCAAAAGAAACCAAAATAATACCAAAAGTAATAGGCACCTTGGTTGCAATCCCAAAACATGTGGAGCACCAGTTGGACATCATTGGCATTGACAAAATCACCATCAGTCAATTGCAGCTTTACTTGGAACAGCTTATATCCTGTGACAGTACCTTTAATACCATGAAACAACATCTGCATACCCCAGATCCTTGGGAAGAATTTAATAGGTTAATAAAATGCCAAATCCAGTCTAAACATCTGCCTGACTCTATGAATAACAATAACAACAACAATAATAATATAAAAATATTATTTTGAAAAACAGTATGCTGTCTCTCCACTTGTTTTTTCAATCTAGGTTCTCCATGCTACAACTGGTAGCTTCTCCAGCTCTCCTACCACTCCCAGAGCCGTTTGTCTGTCTGTCTGTCTGTCTGTCTGTCTATCTATCTATCTATCTATCTATCTATCTATCTATCTATCTATCTATCTATCTATCATCAATCTATTCCTTCCCTGAGTGCATAGATACATCACATTTCTCTTCTCAACAATACTGCCTTTGTAAATTGTTTTCAATTTACCTTTTACTTTGCAACATGAAAAACAATCATTACTGTATTGCAACTGTAAAAATTAAAAGACAAGTAGAGGGTTGCTGGAAGTTATGTAGTATTTTACCTTGCAAATACATAGAATCATGTGCTTCCCTTCCTCTAATTTTACTACCTGTTTAAAAACTCTTTTTTAATTAATCATATTTCAGTGTTATCTGAATACTCCAAACCTGTTAATTTCATTATAGTTGTAATATTTCACATTGTATTTTATGGAAAGTCAATTTAAGATTACTTATAGTTTAGGATTCACTACATAATTTCCTATGCATTTTACCTTTTCCGGTTTAAAGAATAATATTTCTCTAAAAGTAAATGTAGTCATTAAATATTTGAACCCTAAAACAGATGTGGCCCAGAGTCGCCTTATTGGTGAGAGGGCTGGCATATAAATTTAATAAGTAAAACAATAAATGTAAAACATTACAAATGTAAAAACTAAAATATTAATTAATGGATATTATGTAACTGAATTTTGAATTTCCAGTCAAGCAAATGCAAATTTTTGTTTTTAACTTAGAGAATTGAAGGCAAGTTGTTTAGTGGGAAAAATATTAGAAAAATTCAAATGGCATTTTCTAAACAAAAGTTTTTTGAAACTCTTGACCATCAATTAATAGTAAATATAGCATTCCAAATTGTGATTACTGTTATTTAATTCTGATGTATTATTTTCTGTAGGTTGCACTGAGGTATGTTAAAAAGTATGGTAGTGACAAAGTGAGAGTGCTCACTCTAGTGAGGAATCGTGGAAAGGGAGCAGCTGTTAGAATGGTAATAAACTCACCTGCTTTTCCTTTAAGTTGCATATTCTCAGAGGAAACAAATGATTCAATGTTTACCTTTCAGTATGAACATTTAAATTAAATTCAAAAATATTATTGAAGGTACTGCAAACTTACTGTTTTCATATTTAGAATCTATAGTGCTTGATGTCTGTGGAGATTTTCAGTCATCTAGATCAGGTGTCTCCAACCTTGGCAACTTTAAGATTTGTGGACTTCAACAGCTTTGCTGGCTGAGGAACTCTGGGAGTTGAAGTCCACAAGTCTTAAAGTTGCCAAGGTTGGAGACCCCTGATCTAGATCATGGTTGTCCCAAAGGTGCTTTTTCAAGAGCAACTGGACTTTTTTGGTTTTTCTTTGAAGGCATTCATTTCTCATCCAAGAAGCTTCTTCAGCTCTGATTGGATGGTGGGGAATGGAAGGATTTATACTCCTTGCAGACAGGTGGTCATTTGCATTCTTTAGAGCAGTGGTTCCCAACCTTTTTTTCGCCCCGCACCCCTAAAGAAATTTCACTCGAACCTTGCACCCCCTGAAATTTAGACTTTAGGAACTACTGAACGCGTTAAATATATGGTAGGATTGAACCTTTTCAGCTATGTATGTGACGGCCACTAAATAACGATACTTAACTCTAAAATGAAAACAAAGTTAATCCATTGCATAATAAATAAAAATGCCAACATATAGCCAATATCCTATTATTTCTCGCATCCCCTGGAATATCGTCTCGCACCCCAGGTTGGGAACCCCTGCTTTAGAGAGTCTTCTTGGAACTGTTGAAAGACTGGAAACTGTTGTAGACTGGTGATAGATGATGTTGAGAGAGGGCTGTTCAATTTTGACATAGATGGACTCTTTGACCCTTCTTTCAAACCAGTGATCCTCTTTGTCCAAAATGTGGGCTTTGCTGTCTTCAAAAGAGTGACCTTTGACTGTTAAATACCAACACAACATATGTGCACACTTCAAACCCAATAATGCATTAAGGCAGATGTTTGTCTACCCCAAGGATAAAACATCCAGACACAAACTGAGCAATGTGCAGATCTGTTTCTTTTGGGGAAACAAAACAACCACTTGACTGCATGGCACAACATATGAGAACAAACACATCAGTACTAGTTTCAGTAGTCCATCTGCATTTAAAAGACACAGCCACTCTTGAAGACAGCAAAGTCTACATTTTGGACTGAGAGAATTGTTGGTTTGAAAGAGGGGTCAAAGAGGCCATTTATGTCAAAATTGAACAGCCCTCTTAACAGAGCAGGACGAATACAACATCTATCTCCAGTCTACAACACAGTCCTTTCAGCAGTTCCAAGTAGGTTTCATACCCATTTGCACTACTCAAGTGACCATGAGGACATAGATAAACCTCTAAGTGGCCTCAATGACTCTCTAAAAGAATGCAAATGACCAACTATCTGCAAGGAGTATAAATCCTCCCAATTCCTACCATCCAGTAAGATTTTTGGATGAAAAGTGAAACGTCTTCAAAGAAAAACAAAAAACTCCAGTTGCCTCTTGAAAAAGCACCTTTGGGACAACCTATAATGGCATGTGATAAAATTAATATTGAAATGGATGTATTTAATAGTAATTTCATTTTTATGGCAATATTTGAAAAAATACTGCATTTCCCCCATCTCATATGGTGAACCTGTCTCTTTGACAGGGATACAAAAGAGAATAATACATGATTCCTGTTATCTTCTCCAAGAGACACGGAGTTTTGGAATTTTGTCTTTTCAAAAACCTAACATTACTTAACATTAAAATTAGTCAAAGAGCCAGTTTTATATAATGGTTAAAATGCTGGCCTAGAATCCTGGAGATTGTGAGTTCTTGGCCTCCCTTTGGCATGAAAGCCAGGTGGTGCACTTTGGACCAGTCATTCTCTCTCCATACCCAAGTTGTTGTTAAGCAAAAATGAGAGGAATTAGGTATATTTTGCCAGTTCAGCTATAAAAATATAACCATAATAATGATTACATAAAATATAGACCTGCTGATTTGGTAAACATCCTCATTTTAGTTTTGATTGAGCTGCCTAATAGCACCCTTGTCTAGAACCATTGTTAATTGTTCTTGACTACAGATTGCCAGGGTTTGTAGGCATAATTCAAACAGCTTTGTGAAGTTGATCTTAGTCATGAATGTGACTATTGGTACATGGAAAGCTTATTGCATCATGTTAGTTTTTAGTTTTTTTAAACAGTTTATTCTAATTTTAAACATAATTAAAAGGGAAACTGGCACGATGCAAAGCAAATCATTAGTCTCCTGAAGTATGATTTCACATAGGTTATGCAGACAGTCTTACAGAATTAAAATGGTGGCTCACTGCAGTTGTTTGCCAAAATTGTTTGGCAAAATACTTAATCAGTATTCTGTTGAGCAGTCTCATCATGTTGCTTTCTGGCAAATTTGGTCATGTCCATTGTAGCATCCATTTTGTGAACAGGCAGTCCCCCCCACAACTACCTTGTTGTGTTTATGCTGTCTAATATGTTCTTTGATATAAAGTTTAATATGTAAATTATAATTTTGGGAGGAGAGTTCTATCAAAACAAAATATGACTTTTTTGTCTTTTCATAATAATTGCTCAACTAATTTAGGTCCTTACATATTTCTTAACTGCAGGGTGTATTTTATTCACGAGGAAAAAGAATATTGATGGCAGATGCTGATGGAGCTACAAAATTTAAAGATATTGAAAAAGTAGAAAAAGGTCTTGAGAGTCTCCAACCCTGGCCTGTGAGGTTCTAATTGGCTACCTTTTCTCCTTTTTTGTTGGATTAGTAAGAAGATAAATATAATGTTGTTTCCTTTTTTAAGTCTTATGACACAATCCAGAGAAAATTGAACATATTTAATTTCTTAAATTGTGTAAGATTGGAGCAAACATCTTTTATCAGGTTTGCGTACATTTTGGAATGCTGTGTCCTACTTTGAGATCTGTAGTTTGGGATTACTTCAAAATATCCCTTTTTTCTACATACAAGGGAGTTTAGGCTCAACAAATTCAATTTTGGAGCTAATGGAAAAGTAATATGAGCATTCCTTGGTGATACTCCATCTTTTCCATCTGTTGCTATTTGCATGCCCTTTGGAAGCACTATAATTAAATGTAATTTCTTGTTGCCATTTTTTTTAGAAAAAATAATTTTAATTTACCGGTAGCTAGTCATTTTTTCAAACAATGTGCTTTGCATCTTATGAGAGTACAAAGCATCTTTCTTTGAATAATGAAAGCAATTGCATCATTTTCTAGGCTTCGCCAGCTGCTTTAGAAGCTACTCCCAGGTCTCTCTATATACATGTACATGGCAATCACTGTGTCTCAAAGAAACAGCAGGAGCAGCTTATAAACTCACCACATGCTCCTGGAAGAAGATACAATGGCTTTTATGAATTGAAAGGAGTGCTTATACGAATATAATTTGGAAACTGCCTGTTCTTTACTCTGCTTCCCTTAAAGCTGTTAATGTTTTTTCCTCTAGGAAATGATGGCTATTGCCTGTGGTTCACGTGCTCACTTAGAGAAAGATTCCATAGCACAGGTATACTTTTCTTGCCTCTGTTTTTTTTCTACACCTACTGTCAGACAGACTATTCTTTATAGACAGATATAAACGCCTTCTTTTTAAAGATCAAATCTTATTCTCTAATTTGCATGATCCCTAGTTGGAGTGCAGAATGTGGGCTCTTATTCAGCAGTATACAGCCAGCCTAAATAACTAACATAAATACTCATTACTATTGAGTATTTCTAACACAATTATTAAAGTCTCCATTCTGTAGTCTCTAAGTTGAACAGTTATTTTAATGTATTTTTATTAGATCAAACTAATTAAGAGAATGAAAAGTATATATACAACAGTATTAACAGTATCGTGTAAGCACTAATTTGAAATGATAAAAAATTAGATTCCTTTTAAATAGAACAACTTCAAACCCACTCCCTCCACATCTTTTCCTTGCCCTTTGTTGAAATAAATAAATAAAATGTTAACAACACATATCATTAAATCAATATTGCATATTAGGTGCAGATTTATCTTTCCAGTCTTTTTATGGTAATTGTTTTGGTTGATTCCCATACATGGAAAATTTACAATACCTGGTAATCTTAGAAGATTACAAGAGATATAGCAAAGGAGATCAGTTCAGGAATATGGAATGCAGTGTTGATTTCATTACAAAATGGTGCACTAGGATAGATTTAGACAACTATTAGTTAATGTTCTAGTCCTGAGTTGTATCTCTAACAACTGATTATAGATAGGTCTTAAGTTGTGACTGTAATGGGGCCTGGTCATTACAGTCACAAGAAAAATTACAGAATTACAGAAAAACACAGTTGGAAGGGACAGGGCATTGGTACTTACCTGATACGCCCGTTTTTCCATAAGCTGTGAAGAACATCCAGTAATGGAAGGTGCTTCAGTCTCTTCTTAGGAAGGCTGGGCTTAATTTTGTGGACGCTCCTCTTCCTCCATGAGACTCTTCCTTAGCGTCCCCAGTTTTGCGAAGCCGAGGTGATGAAACCCTACATGCTTCAACCTATCTAATACCCTTGGTTGGGGGGAGGGGCTCGGTTTGTTAAGGCGTGCCGTGTTCTTGGCCTTGAATAACAAGGATTTAAATAACTGTGGGCGAAATAGTCCTGTAAATACAGGCTGGTTGGGCATCAGGCCCTCATCGTCTGACATCCCCCTCTCCAGAGGGTCTACCTCTGACAAGCCATGGTCTATGGTATGAACTGACCCCTCTTCCATTTGATCCATTGGATCCAATCTGTCTCCCAGTTCATGTGAACACTGTGGAGCCATGTCTGTGGGAATAGAGAGTTCTACTCGGGGGGGGGGAGTACCTGATGGGAATGCTGATCCCTGATTCCTAGGGACCGCTCTGAGAGGGACCCGTAGTCCGAAGCTCCAGATGGTTGTCTTGTCCGAATCGCCTGCTGGACGCCTGTTGTTATGCCCTTTTGGATCGCCAACTCCATCCATGCCCTCATGTTGGCAGGGATTTCCTCCAGGAATTGCTCTTCCTGGCAAAGGCCAGCTGCAGTAGGTGTATATATTGCCTCTGGAGCCCCTCTTGGGGGGGGGGTACATTGGATGGGGCCTCCTGGGGGACCTGTGCAGTTATGCCACACCTTCCAGACAAGTCCAGAGGTGCGGGTGGAGGGCTGGTGGCCTGAGCTATAATGGGCAGGATTTGTGATGATGATGCGGCCTGGCCCGTTTCTCTGGCACGCTTTCGACTTGTTTTTCTAATGCTTGATGACATCTGCATGCGTCCTTCTCGGCTGCCTGTGAGGGCTTTTGGGGCTCCGTGGATTTATCCGGGGCCTTAGAAGCTGCTCTAGATCTGGAACTGTAGTTGCTTGCCATGATAGTTTGTTTATGGGCTCAATAATTAAAGAGGCTGTGAGTTATGGTGGCTGGCACACCTAGGGGCCTACTCCCTTAAAGGGCAGGGAATCCTTGATATAGTTAGTCCCCCCTTTGTTGATACCGTGTTTCTCACAAAATAAGGCCGGGCCTTATTTTTTTTTTACCCCTGAAAAAACAGCTAGGCCGTCTTTTCGGGGGTGACTTAATTTCCTCCCCCACCTAGAGCGGCCCATACACACGTACCTCGCCACAAGGCCGCTTCTATCGGCCGATGAAAACTCCCCAAAGACAGAGTCCCCAGCCACTTCGGGGCGAGGCGTGGCTGCCCGTGTCCCCTTGCCATTAGGCAGTCTCTTTCGGGCGATGGAAGCTCCCCAAGTGCAATCAACAGCCACTTCGATCGACCGGTAGAAGCGGCCTCCGGGCGAGCGCGCACACACACTCCCCTCACCACGAGGCCGCTTCTATCGGCAGACGAAAGCTCCCTTGAAGGCAGAGTCCCCAGCCACTTCAGGGTGAAGCGTGGCTGCCCGTGTCCCCTCGCCTTTAGGCACTCTCTTTCGGGCGATGGAAGCTCCCCAAGTGCAGTCACCAGCCACATCAATCGGCCGGTAGAAGTGGCCTCGGGGTGAGCGCACACACACACTCCCCTCGCCACGAGGCCGCTTCTACCGGCCAATCGTAGTAGCTGGTGACTGCATTTGGGGAGCTTCCATCGCCCGAAAGAGACTGCCTAAAGGCGAGGGGACACGGGCAGCCACGCCACGCCCTGAAGCGGCTGGGGACTCTGCCTTTGGGGAGCTTCTATTGACTATCGGGTTATTCTAGCCTAGGCTACCTGCAGGGCCCTTCTAAAGGCAAGTTTTCTCCCCATCCCCCCGCCTGTCCCACCCATTTCTCTTCACCTCATGTAGTTCTAACGAACGATGTGAGAAATGGCAGGGAAATGCATGGTTTAAATAGGCCTAAATTTTGGGGGCGGGGCTTAATTTCACCTCATGCCTAGAAATCATGCTGGGCCTTCCTATTGGTGGAGGCCATATTGTTGGAGAAACATGGTAATTGTTTATTATTATTATTATTATTATTATTTTGAAAGATTGTAGAAATAGATTATATATTTTGAGGAGCTAATAAACCCTCCTCCAATTTGGTTGTGAAATTTGAATTAAGGCCAATTCTGGAAATATTCAAATCGAGATCTAAATTGAATGCAGAACACCCCCTCAGGCCAAAGTTCTGTGTAAGGGCACACAAAGGCCTGCAACTGGAAACTGCATGAGTATTAAATCCTGTTATACCCAGTTGACCTGCTAAATAATGGCTGTGGGGCTTTGAGCCAGCAGTCTAAGTTCCATAACATCCAGAGAAACTGGGGTTAGGGCCACCTCTCCCCAGGTCCCGAGAAAGGGAAACCAACGGGGAAGATTCCTCCCATAAGCAATATGCTGTACTTCTCTCCACGCGGCTGTTTTTAAAATGGCTGCCTCGTGGCGCAATGTTAATAAAGCAGCTATCACCGCCCGATCTGCCTTAGGCAAAACAGTCAGCAGGGAGGGAACAGGGGCTAATTCCCTGCCCTCAAGGTGTTCTGCGGGGGGGAAGCCTCAGACATTATTGTGCGCTTGATGTTAAAAGCTGCACCCTCAATTTGGAGGCTTTTGCCTCAGGGCAAGTTCAGATAGTTTGGATTGGGAAGATAAGCCTTTGTTTTTCTGAGGCCATCGCCTCTAGTGCTCGTGCGCTCGCTCTAATGAGTGGTTGAACAATTCCCGACGGCCAGATGGTAGGAAAGCTGTCGTAGTAAGAATGGAAAATTTAAAGTACCAAACCTGGGTTAGAATATAACTGAATATCCTAGCTCTATTCCGGCCAAAGAAACCACAACCTGATTCTCTGAAGGCTGAGCTAAAACTGGGGACGCTAAGGATGAGTCTCATGGAGGAGAAGGAGCGTCCTCAAAATTAAGCCCAGCCTTCCTAAGAAGAGACTGAAGCACCTCCCATTACTGGATGCTCTGAACAGCTCAGGGGAGAACTTGGAGACTTTCTGGTCCAACCTCCAGCTCAAGCAAAAGAATCTACATCATTCTGGACAAATGGCTGTCCAATCTCTTAAAACCTCCACTGATTAATTGTTCTCACTGAAAAGAAATTCTAGGTCTTTGTTAAGCTTCCATGCATTGCATCTTATCAGGTGCTTTGGAGAATAGCTTGATCTCTTCTGTGAGACTCTCAGATATTAGAAAATGGCTAACATGTTACCCCTAGTACTTATCTTCATTAGATTAAACATACCTAATTCCCACAACTATTCATTGTACAATTTGGCCTCTAGTTCACTAAACTTCTTTGTTACTCTTCTCTGCACATATTCTAGGGTTTCAACATCTTTTTTGTATCATGGTAACAAAACTGGATTCAGTATTTCAAGTGTAGTCTTATCAAGGCTGCATATTGCAATACTAACAGTTCACATGATCTTGATGCTATCCATCTCTTGATGCAGCCTAAGACTGCATGGCTTTTTGGCAGCTACAGCACACTGCTAGCTCATGTTCAAGTTGAGCCAGGTACTACCTATTCTATACCTATGCATTTGGTTGTGGTGCTCAGTAAGTGAGGCACCATGTGATTACCCCCTTAATGACCACCACCCCTGCTCTCCCTGATGTGATTGTTGAACAGAGCAAAGTATGGCTCGGGTGTGGGAGGCCTAGTAACTTAGTTGTAAACAATTTAAATTCTTACTTTGGTTTCAAAATAATATTGATGGTGTATTTTCTGCATTATTGGATAAGTATCTGACATCATTTAGTTCAAGATGACCACATTGTAAAAGCAGGGTTATAAATACAATATTTCAGGTTTTTTTTTGAAATGCCAATCTTGTTTAAGTATAATTCTAGAAATATGTTGAACATAAAGTATTCAGTAGGACTGGGCGGTATTATAAATTCAAAGAAAGAAAGGTGCTTCAGATTTTGTGTTGGTACATTCATAGCACTGCTAGCATATAAATATCAGTGCTGCTCTAGCTATTCTTGCACTTTGGTATATTTTTTCTGTAGAAAATTCTTATTTATTCTTCTTATACTTGTCACAGAGAATATAGTTTATATGTAGATCTGATGAAATGATCATGGTAAGATTATTATAGTAAGGTAATTATGTAAACAGAAAAGTTCTGGAATGTATTTAAGTGTTTTTTTACTTCAGACCTAATATTTTGTGTATTTTGTTTGCAGCGTTCATACTTCCGAACCTTTCTAATGCATGGATTCCACTTTCTAGTCAGATTCCTTTGTGTTAAGGATATCAGAGACACGCAGTGTGGTTTTAAACTCTTGACCAGGGAGGCTGCTTCTCGAACTTTTTCAGTTCTTCATATAGAACGTTGGTTGGTATATTTCTTTCAGTTAATTGGAAACTGGTAATGTGTACAAGATTATGATGCATGATCTAGTATGTACATATATATGCTAAATAATTTTATGACTAGAACGTAAGAACTTTCAGGCATTGCAAAGACTTTTGTATATTCACTGGGTCTTCTTATTTTCAATTTATGAAAATACGGTAGCTCTTCATGCTTTTATTGAAATTTGAAGAGTTACAGGGAGTGGGTGTGTGGCTCCGTTGGCTGTGGAGGAGGCTGGGGAAGGGCAAAGTCCAGCTGGGCAGAGCAGGGGAGAGATAGGACAAGGGAGAGGGAGTTCAGAGGAAGAACCAGGCCCACCCCCTCTTCATCCTAGGGCACGCAGGGAGGAACGGAGAAGAGCGCAACATGGGTTGTATGGCTTATGGGGGAGGAAAGGGCCCTGATTCCCTTCATAAGCCACACCTGGGAATGAAAGTTTAAAAGAACTGAATGCTGACTGCGGCAGCTGCTGGGAGCAAACATGACTTTATCCTGTGTTTGTTGAGGTAATTCCCCATTAGGAGAATGAGCGCATACAAGGAGACGTATTGAGAGAAGTGTTTGAATAATACACACACAACACACAGATACACTGTACAGTAAATGTAGGTTTTTACTTCCAGAAAGGTTTAAGCAATGTTCAAAACAATCAGTCCAAAGTCATTCACAGGTAAGATCAGTCAGTTTTTAGTCCAGGGATAATCCAGTAACAAAGTCCAGTGTCAAAAACAGTTCAGTATCAGACTTACATCAAATCCAGAAATAGCAGTCAATTAGGAAAAATGGAGGAACGGCAATACTCTCCAACAGAAGGAAAAACAGAGACTCACTCACTTCACTGAGACTCTTCTGAGACTAAGATTAAACAACCCAGGTTTCTGGCTCTATCTTATGGCCGTTTGAGTAACCACACCCAATTGCAATTTTTAGCATGCTCTTAAAGATACAGTATTAAAATGTCTATCCTGGGTTGTATATTTTCAACCCAAATAGCTGTTAGGTGACTTACATTCCTAACATTCTCCCCTTTTGGATAGGACAATATATACAGCCTTACATTCTAAGTCCATAATCTTCACAGCAAGCCTTATGTTTTATAGAGCCTTGGGCCTTTGTAAAATGATCTGCTATATTGTTTTCTGACATACAGTATTCCAGCTTAATCATCTTACTTTGCACGCATTGTCTCACATTGAAATATCTTAAATCTGTGTGTTTCGCTCTTGTTTTAACAGCAATATTTGAAGCCATCTGTATTGCTGATTGGTTATCTTCGTAAACAACAATAGAATTTGTTACATTAATTCCCATTGGAGCAGAAGGCCCACAATATCGATGATTATTTTGAAAAAAGAAATGGGAATTAAGGACACTCTCTCCAATGGAACTTTATCTTGTTTTCCTTTTGGTTTCATTAATTAATAAACAGGGCAGGGTCTGGAGTAATGAACCACATCTTTATTTCATCAGTTAAATATCTAATATAGGTTGCCCTCCGTTTATATCCACAATTGAGCTCACAATTTTGATTATAAGTTTGGGTGGTCCTTGAGTAGGTCATGTGACCTGGCTCAATTTAACAATCATTTTTATGATAATTTTAAATGAGACACTGGAAAGTAAATCATGAATCATGTTAAGCAAATCCAGCATATCCAAAAAAATGCTGCAAATCACGATCACACGACTGCAGGACACTGCAATGGTTGCCAGATACTGAAATGCTGTCATGTGACTTCCATAGACTAGGCTCTTATAGTTACTCCTACTACTTTAGCCTCCTCCCTGAAGCCCTTTGTTGGAATCAAATCGTCAGCAATTGGAAAATCTATTCCGATCACTAGATTACATAATAGTTTAGGAATTGCACCTGTCACTGTTATTTGTTCATTTCTCTTTGACTATATTTTAGCTGTAACAAATGGGACCAACTCAAGTCTGCACAAACATACTTGTGAGAGATTTTTTCCCATATATACATGCAGTCCTTGACTTACAACAGTTCATTTAGTGACTGTTCAGTTACATCACTGAAAAAAGTGACATGACTGTTTTTCACACTTGCGACTATTGCAGCATCCCCATGGTCACATTATCAAAATTCAGATGCTTGGCAGCTGACTCATTTACAACTGCGGTGTGCAGGGTCATGTGATTACCTTTTGCAACCTTCTGACAAGCAAAGTCAATGGGCAAACCAGTTTCACTTAACAACTGTGTTAATTTACCAACTGCAGTGATTCATGTAACTGTGGCAAGAAAAAATGTAAAATGAGGCAAAACTCATTTAGCAAATATTTCACTTAGTAATAGAAATTTGGGGCTCAACTGTAGTCATAAGTTGAGAACTACCTGAACTGCCTTTTTTACTAAATGAGGATATACAAAAGTCTTTCTATTTTCAGTGGCCACATGTTATTAATTGTTTATTTATTTATTTCAGAAAGCTATCCTTTAGGATTTATTTATTTTTCAAAAATTCACTTTGTCTTTTATTTTGGTTATTTTTCATCATACAAATGGTATCACTTAATACACATTCTTATACATTCATATCAAAAGTAATTTTTAAAAAAATAAATAAATTTAGAAATACCGTTTAGATCTTTTTAAATAAAATGTGCATTTTGTAAAGTTTTCCTTGGTTTTGCTGTTAAATTTTCCTCTGTACACTAAACTTATAAATATAAACAATTACATTTTTATGCTTATGGATATTTTTCAGATTTGTTCCTTTTTTAGATTTTTTATTTTTCCTCAGGAAAACATGATCACTGTAGACATAAATGTACTGTAGCAGTTTTCTGCAAGTTTGAGTGCTGGGAGATAATAAGATTAGCCATCTTGCTTGCAAGAACAGCAGTAGAAATTTTTTAAAAGACCTCAAGTTTGCAAACTTGACTTTCTACTCACATTTGGAAATTGTTTATTAACTACTTCTAAACTGTTAGCTTTGGACAAACAAGTCTGAAAATACTGGGTGAATCTGCCTTCAATCCTGAATGAAATAAAAATTTAATCATAAGTTTAAGAACTTGTCTAGCAAAAAAAAATTGATCGTAGAAAATTGTAAACATACTAAGGATCCAGATAAATTTGGTATATTAAAATGTTTACAATAAAATTTTGGATTTAATTATAAAAAACAGCTTCTCTTGGAAAATAATTTTGTTTTTATTTTTACAAGACAAAACAAGCAATTTCATAATTTCAAAAACAGGACACTAGGGGATACTAAAGTTTTTAGATAAAGGAAAGATTTGCAAACCTGCAAAGTGTTCTAACAATGAAAACACTGAAGGAGACTTGAAGAATTAAATCAGAAAATAGTAGCCACAATATTGGGCTTCCAGATGAAGAAATGGTGGGCTAAAGATAATTCTGCGAAAATTCTTAATGAAAAATATAAATGTTGGTTTTAAAGGCCTCAATATGTTAATCATATAGATCTTATTTATAGGTCTTATTTGTATAGGTTACTATGTGTCCCTTTCATTATGTCCTGAGGTGGGAAACTGGAATTTTAACCATAATTTTTGGCTTCGCTGATAATAGTAATTAAGTTTTTTATTATTACTACATACTAGTATGTTTTTAATATGTTATAACTTGCCTAATATTGCTTAGATGATTAAAATGAATAATGAATAAAATGAATAAATTTACAAATACCTACTTTTACAGTTGGAAAAATGGGAAACATATATCACAATTATTTTTATTTCATGATATAAAAATTAAAAATTATTGACATATGCTTATGGAAATTTATTATACTTAGAAAAATCTTGAAAATATTTATTCTGTTCTTCTAGGGCTTTTGATGTGGAACTTCTTTACATAGCTCAAAGTTTTAAAATCCCAATATCAGAGATTGCTGTCAATTGGACAGAAATTGAAGGTCAGTTGAAAATTGCATATTTTGTGTCATTTTAGATCAGTTCTAGAAATGAGGTGAGTTTTACAAGTTCAGTGATCTTAATATATTTCCTATGATAATATAGAAAGATTAAATTATTGTTCCACAAAACTTTCTAATATAGGTAGTCCTCAACTTATGACCACAATTGAGCTCAAATTTTCTGTTCCTGGGTGAGACATTTGTTAAGTGAGTTTTGCCCCATTTTACAACTTTTCTTGCCACAGTTGTTAAGTGAATCATTGGAGGTGTTAAGTTAGTAACATGGTTGTCAAGTGAATCTGGCTTCCCCATTGACTTAGCTTGTCAGAAGGTTGCAAAAGGTGATCACATAACCGCGTGATACTGCAATAGTCATAAATGAGTCACTTGCTAAGTGTCCGAATTTTGATTATGTGACCATGGGGATGCTGGAAAGGTGATAAGTGTAAAACATGGTTGTAAGTTCTTTTTCAGTGCTGTTGAACGGTCACTAAATGAACTTGTAAATCAAGGACTATCTGAATAGTTAAGAAAATTAAGCTATTTCCCCCACACAAGGTTTTTTGCATGCTGCTCCTTACTCCCTTAATATGCTTTATCCCTGACTGTCAACATATTATGAAGCTATTTATTTTTCAGTAGAATTCTATCATTTTTCCCCTAGTAATTAATAGATTATGGTGTGATGGGAGGTAAACGAATCCCTACTGGGTGATGATTCTGAGAGAAACTAATTCCTAAACTATTCCAATAATTTTACCAACATAAGCCAAATTTTGTTTTGACTTCAAAACACTCCATTGTAATATGTACTCTTAATTTGACTGCATTTCAAAATAAAACCCAAAATAATTTGAAGTGATAAAGTAAACTGTACTTCACAAAAGTGCAGCCTTTTATTAAAATCTGTAAATCTGAGAAGGTGCTACCTAACTCCTGATTTTTGAAATAGAACAGAGTACTCTGTACTCTAATCCTCAGACTAACACTAATGCAACAAGTAATGTTCTTACATTCTTTAGTTACATTTGCTAGTTTGAAGATGTCCTATATTGCTATTCTGTGGGGTAACTTGCTTCTGTACTGGTTACAAAAGATTATTACTTTGTTGTATAAATGACATTTATTGGTACTATAACAGCAAAATAAAAGCAAGCACTATTAATAGTTTTATCAATAAAATCAACAGTTAAATACACACACACACACACACACACACACACACACACATTGTATATAATCAAATCTTCGGCCACCTGATAAAATTATTTTTAATAGTAAAACTTAAAAAACAAATTTAATTAGTAAGCTCAATTACATTAAATTGGAAATATGTATCTGGAGATTGCTGCAAGGAATGGATAAGATACATACTTTCCAACTACAGCAACTAATTGTAGTTTTTTAAAGCACTTCTTATTTTCCTCCATAAGTAACAGAATCAATTTCACAGTGGCTTCTGAGTGGGCTAGTTTTTTGTGTTCCAGTCCACAAATATTCCATATAAGAAGAACAGTTCTGCACAGATAGCCCACTGTACATACAACCACTCATTCAGCAATTGTTCAAAGTTATGACAGTGCTGAACAAGGAGACTTACAACTGGCTTTTGAAGTTACAAACATGCGACATGATCGCAATCTGGGCACTTGGCAATCCATTCACACTTAGATCAGTTGCCAAGCATTCTTTTTAAAAAAAACAACAACAAATTTTATTAGTTTTTAAAGACAAACAAAACATAAAACATAAGAACATAAAACCTCTTTTCTGAAAGTTATTTGTAAATGTTAACAAAGCAAATAAAACATTATTTTATACAACATTGACACATTTCCTTATAAACACATACCATGTTTCTCCAACAATACGGCCTCCACCAATAGGAAGACCCAGCATGTTTT